GATTGTATGTGTGTGGAGTGATGCCATGTAGGTCAGTCTATGTGAGTCAGTCTATGTGAGTCAGTTCGTTATAAGCCTTCCACTGCATAAAAAAAACTCATCCTATATTGGTTGATTCTTGGTTCTGCCCATACTCATTGGAGTATGTAACAAAGGTGTGTGGCGCGAGTCCAACGCCGAGGAGAGAGAGAAAGTGGAAGTGGAAAACGAGAGAGAAGAATCAGACAAGATAGTACGCGGGCTTGAGAAAACGGATGCACCAAGAAGGATAAAGCAACTTGAGACGGAGTTGGATGCTGTGAGGGCAGAGAGGAAGGCACGCGAAGAGGGATTTGAGAAAGAGAGGCAAACGCACACCGAGAGGATTATGGAGCTTGAGACGGAGCTAAGGATTGTGAGGATAGAGAGGCAGCGATTAGCGGAGAGAGCTGAGAGATTTCAGTCAGAGCATGAGAAGGCCGGACTAATGCATTCCGAGAAGGTCGAGAAGTTGGAGGGTGAAATGCGCAATGCGTTTGAGCAAGAGAGCCAAACGTATGCAGAGAGGATAAGGGGGCTTAAGGCTGAGCTAAGAATTGCGGAGATGGCGAGGCAGGGATTGGTAGAGAGAGTTGCGAAATTCCAATCAGAGTATGAGAGGGCAAAGGAAATGCACTCGGAGAGAGTCAAGCAGTTGGAGGATGACATGAGCAATACGACGGCCGAAAGAGACGCCATCAGAGAGAGCTTTGAGAAATCAAAGGCCAGGGTCGAAGAACTGGAATATAGGTTGGAGACGGAAAGACTCCGAGGTGCAGACATGCATCCCTTCAGAGAATTTTCCCTGGATGAGTTGACAGCATCGACAAATGACTTCCACAATAACTGCAAGGTAAAACAGTTGCAACCTAACGGTTATGGATGTGTATACGTGGGGAAGATCACACCCGTCGAGGTAAGGCGACTCGACGGGGGAAACAGCATGTCACGGAATCAGCATCGCCGATTGACGAGAGAGCTTGTGGACTTGTTGAAGTCTCTTCAACACCCACACCTGCAGATCCTGTTGGGAGTGTGTTACGGAGGAAATTGTCTCGTGTACGAGCACTTGGCAAATGGAAATGTGAAAGATTGGGTCTCCTCAGCTAGTGGGTCACAAAGAGGCTTCTTGCCGTGGTATATCCGCCTGCGGATTATGGCCCAGGTTGCGAACGCCCTGTCCTTCCTCCACTCCATTCAGTCACTGAGAGGAGGTCCTATCATCCACCGAGCCATCAAGCCCGAAAATATATATGTAGATAACAACTTCCTGGCAAAAATCACTGATCTGGATGTGGCGTTACTTGCCTTACCGCGCACTGAAGCAGATGCAGCACAAGGAATGTTTATGTTCCCGGGACCTGATGTTCGGTACATGGCCCCTGAGTTGTTCCGCAGTCAGTCTGAGGTCTTCACTGAGCAGACCGACATTTATGCATTTGGCATCACAATCTTGGAGATCCTAACAGGAAATTTCACGAACGCATTGGAAATCATGGAGGGTGCAGTGGAAGACGTGGCAACGTTCAGAAGTACTCTGGACCAGAGCGCAGGAAGTTGGGATGTAGATCTGGCCATGGAAGCGGCACAAGTGGGGCTGAGATGTGCGAGTTTGAAAAAACACCACAGGCCTAGTATGACAGGTGAAGGTGCCATTCTCCCTGTGCTGGAAGAAATTGCTCATAATGTGGACCTCGCTGACTCGATTGAGGACATAGGGAGGATGTCGTAGAGCCTTAAAGTTTGTGACTGACTCAGTCAGAGTGTTAAGGGGGAAGAGTGGACGCGAGTGGACAAGATGGGGAGGTAATTTACAAGCATGCTGATGGCATTTGCATGCTCTCACAGTACACCATACCTAGTGTACATGGATGAAGTCGTCTGCGACTCTACGATAGTACCCTGTCGATTTCTTAAAGTGGAAGCTGCTCTGGTCTGGCTTGTCAGAATATCGTCTGTTTGCAATAGCATGCGTCCTTCAATTGCTCACTCAATATCTACCAAACCACTCGGAGTCCCCCAATCGTTCTTTCTTCTCCCATTTTTAATACTCACTCTTTCAGCCAATTGATGAATCTTTTAAGCTCTTGAAAGATAGCATGGAATCAAACCCAGTTGGGAGGAGGCTAGTCAATACAATTTTCACTTTCATCTTTCGGCATCTCTGCTTTTCCTGTGCCTCATGAAGTGGATTATACGCCAAGCACGTCATGAAGGATGGCTCTCTTCAATCTGTGGATTGTGGATTACTGTTCTAACTTCCTCTCTTTCTTTTTTTCTTTTTTTTTTTAGTGGGCCGCGCCACGCTTGGCTGCAGTGCAAGACGAAGGCAACGCTGGAAGGGTCAAATAGGCAAGCCTACCCCTATAACCCCTCCGTAGCCCTGAAAAATTAATTTAATATCGTGTGACCCGATGGACCACGGATCAGATATTAAACTGATCATAAGTGATTTTCGGTGTCATCCAGTGTGTTTTTTTTTTTGTTTTTTTTTTTTAACCCTGGGTTGATGCTAGAGGAGCTGATAAGAGCAGACCCGTCTAGCACGTTCCCTGGAGGCTCCATCTATTGGTGGGGAGCTTCACCTGCTGCAAACGGGGTCCAGCGTCCCTTTACATGTGACTAAGTGACTTAAAAGTCACTTTTGCGCTCAAATTTTTGAAGGTTTAAATACTGTGTGTTTGGCTCGCTACTCCTACCATCCGTCATGGCAGACTGTTTCAGTATTCAGTGGCTGACAGCATTCTCCATTCCATGCTGGTCTCATGTTGTCCGAATGTGGCTTTGTTCTCCATTCACTGATGGTCTAAAGCTATGTGATCGTGTGATTGTTAATGTGCATGGTGGTATGGTGGTCCCACTCGATAGCGCAGATTACTTTGCTAGCTATGAGTAACTTCAGTGTTCATTTCCTGCATGCCTGCTATGATGACTCCAGTTCGTTCAACCCTTGGAGAACATGTCTACTTCCTTAAAGGGCACTCCTAGCCGGAGTAAGCTTACAATGCGCGGGATGTCGGTGCTGCTGTACTGGATGTCGAATGGGTACTAAAAAGTTGCTAACTGTTGTTTTTGTATGCTTCCTTTTGAATGGTTGTGGATCCTATAATATCTAATTTCTCTCTTTAACAAAGAGCAGGAATTGATATATCTATTGAACTTCGATGCTGTATGAGATTCCGCACGTGGCATCAATGGTCACAAGGGGCCAGGAGGGACGGGGGGGAGGAGGAGGGGGGAGAGAGAGAGAGAGAGAGAGAGAGAGAGAGAGAGAGAGAGAGAGAGAGAGAGAGAGAGAGAGAGAGAG